GGGTACAAAGTAATAGCGGGACAGTCCAATATTTTCTACAGCTTTCACCTGCGATTATGGACGGTAGCTTAACTTTCAAGTCTTCTATGAAGACTAGAATGACCACAGATTAGCCAGTTCAGCAGCAGCCTACAGTGCAGTGAACTACAGGAATCCCTATCATACTGAAAAATAGTAACACAATGCATTTACTTGAGAGCAAGTTTGCAATAGAAACTAGCAGAAGAAACTAAGTAGACTAGAAGCCAGAAAAAAACATAGTCAGACTCTATTCATATATACTTTTGTCCACCTTTAAGTATTTTTAAAGTACCAATTAGATGCCAAATCAAAGTTTAGGTGCTGGGGAATCTGTGATCAAAACAAATCCCTGCCATCAAGAACCTTCTATTCTAGAGCAAGGGTCAGCACACTTTTTCTGTAAATGGCCAGACAGTAAAATAGCCTAAGCTTTGCAAGCCATATAGTCTCTGTTACAACTACACAACTCTGCTGAAAAGTGAAAGCAGCCACAGAAAATATATAAATAAATGAGCATGCCTGTGTTCCAATATAACTTTAATTTATAATTATATAATTAATTTATAATTCCAATATAATAGGCAGCAGGAAGAATAATGTAGGGTCCTGTAAGACATCCTAAGGCCTATGGCTTTTATTATAAGATAGGGAGCCACTGGGATCTTGGAGCAGAAGAGTGATATTATTACTCTTAAAAAGTATCATTATTAAAAAAGTTCATTTCAGCTACTATCTAGAAAATCATCAGTGGAGGGTAGGTATATGGGAAAGGTATAAGCAGAAAGAGCAGTTCAGAAGTTACTGCGAGAAAATGAGAGATGAATTTGTCTTGCACCCAGATGGTAGCAGCGATGGTGGCAAGAAGTGGTCTAATTCTGATAATATTTACAAGCTTCATCACAATTTGCTAATGAACTGGATGTGGCGTGGAAGAGGAAGAAAGTCATGGATGACGCCAAGGTTTATGATCTAAGCAAGCAGAAGAACTGAGTTGCCTTTACTGTGATGGAAAAGTGGGAGGAGCCAGTTA